CAATGATGGTTTTTTAGTGTGCTCTGTAATGTCTGTTCTCTTACCATTGCTGGTATGGATTCTCCAAAAAAAAAAAAAAAAAAAAAAAAAAAAAAAAAAAAAAAAAAACTGTGCGTATGTATGTACATATATGTACATGTGTGTGTAGATATATATGTATGTATATGTATGTGTGTATGTGTGTGTTTGTTACTTGTAGTTATTACTGCCTGTTACCTGTGGTAATGTAATTTATAATTTATATATTCTGTATTCAGTTATGCAGGCTCTAATTGTTGCTTGCGAGCTGCAGTTTAGATGCTTGTATGTGCCCGGGGCTGTTGATGGGACTGTATGCAATGATGGGCGTAGCTGCGGGAAGTTTATTGTTTTGTTTTGTTTTTTTGTTGATGAGTGAGTATAGGGGTGGGATTTAATAAGTTTTCTTCGTCCCACTCCTTTTTCAGGCAATTTTTGTTTTTTTTTTGTGCATTTTATGTTCAATATAGGTATTTGTTGTGCCTGGAAATGAACAAATAAATGAATGAATGAATGAATGTAAAATAAATACAATAAAAGAGCAGTGTTACGGGGGAGCAGATGAGAGCAACTGGGGTCGTGCGAAGGAACAGCGTTTGCCCAGTTCTCTCCCGTGCACGAGAAACATAAAGAACTTTGCCTACTCGTGTCTTGCTTTGCTGTGTAATTAAATTATCTTGAACGTTCCAGCAAATAGGTTTGTAGCTTAAACCTATCACTCTTCAGCCATGCTAATGACTGAGCTTGCTTTATAGACATTATATACTATACTTTTAATTAAGCCACAGTATCTACTTAGTAGTTTTAATTTATTATTCTGCTGCTTAATTCTTTTGATACATTTCATCCATTATTGAAGTAAGCAAATAAAATAAGGAAAACTTTATTATTGTATATTTTCCATTTCTGCTGCTTGCTTAAAGTTAAGTTAAAGCTTAACTTGTAGTTGAGAAGGTTACTACATTTTGTCAAAAAAAACAACAAAAAAAACAAAACCCCACCAAATCCCATAATTATTTTTCTCAGTCAAAGGGATAGGAAAACTGAGACAGGAAAACAGGGCCATAACATCCAACAACAAAAATCATATGATCTGGGATCTTCTCATCTTTAATTTGAAAGACTGGATGTTCCCTTTTCCACACAACAGCAGTCAGCACTGCTGATGAGAGCAGTAAAACTGTCTGGTGCGGTTTCTGTTAGTGCTGACTAAGTCTAAAAGTGGTCAGCAGTGAAGAATTGCTCTGCTCTTTTTGCTCACCGACACCAGATGTCAGCAAAGACCTGAGAGTCCACGGTCCACTGGTTTCACTGAGCTACACAGTAAGGCTCTTCTATTCTTAGAAAGGATGGTTTGTAAGACACTGGGCCCTTTTACTAAAGTGTAGGCTATGGAGCTCTTTGCATGGCGAAACTAATGAACATTAGCCGAAACAGATCAATTCAGGGGCAGGGAGAGCAAGCGGTGCCTGAATGCTGCTGACTGATGTGGGTTTTTTTGGTGAGCCATGCAGCTTAATTATTGATAGAACAGTGACAAGCAACATCCCAAATGAAATGGAGATACTTGGGTTTTTGCTGCTGCAGTGCTCTGCAGATCACCTGTGCAGGAACAGTTTGGAGAAAAGATGAATGGCTTTGTTTTGGTTAAGAGAGCTAAGGCTGTTTTGCTTAAGTTCATATCAAACTGTATATACCGTACATTTATGTGTGTCTAAGTGTATAAAAAATACAGTGATGAATAAATATTTATCTGAAAAACAACGCTAATTCATGGACAGCTGGATGCTGTTTAAATTCGGATGCAAATATCATTCACTCAGATTTTATTTACAATACAACAGAAAAAATTTGAAATATTTCAGCTGGGAAAACGTACCATTTGTGGATTTTATAGCAGATTGTGTTCATGGTCAATGATTTCTGAGCCCATGTAGTGATTTCCATGACAGAATCATGTTTGCATTTAATGCATTTCTGCCTGAAAGCCTGAAGATCACAGGTACCCAATGCTGACTTGTGACTTTGTCTGTTGCACACAGAGATTTCTTCAGAATAACAGCGATCTGAAAATGTTGGGGAACCTTTTCTGTGTATGTTTGAGGTTGTTATGCACACTGAATTAGGGATCTAGTGTCATCTAATATTTGCTATTCTGTTTTTAAGCCACTTAAAATCCTTTAATTTCCTCAAAATCGACAGTGCGCTTTATAATCCGGTGCGCCTTATGTATGAATTCTGGTTGTGCTTACAGACCTCGAACCGATTTTATGTGGTACACGGCGCTCAAAAATCTATCAGACTTTGGTAGGCTACGAAGCCGCACCTCTTGATGGTGTCTGAGCATTACAGCTACCGTAGTCAGGAGCCTCACGGAGTAATCTGGGTCCAAAACTCCGTCCGCTTCAGGTCCCAAAGTCAAAGGAACACTGCGACATCACTGAGAGTTTAAAAACTGTCTAAACTCTTTCATCTGTAATAAAATGATCAGTTTTGCTGCTTTACCAGGTGTAACAATTAGTTTAACATCCAGGCATCCATGCAAACAGAATTTATTCAATTTAACAGAGTTAGAAGTTAACAGGAAGTTAGCTCGCTAGTTCACACCTAAACATGATATAGCATGTTCTGACTGAGAGATTTCTGAAAAAATTAAAAAATTAAACGTACAACTCTGCTATCACTTTCAACATAAATGAAGACAGAAAACTAAACAGCAGTGACGTTTGTAGGGTTACTGAAGTTGTACTAGCTGGTATATAATGATGTGCTACGTGATCGCTAGCTACACAGCTATGTTAGCATAACATAAACACAGTGAAGCTGGAGGATGAACGCTAACGTTTTTCCACTCGATAAAAGTTAACGTGAGGGATTCTGATGGTTAGGGACAAATGCTATCACATGGCAGGATGCTGTAAACGGACCAAACTTCAGTCAGGAGAACAACTGAGATAATCCATTCACGATACAGGTTAGTCATTAATATACTGGAACAACATGGGAATAGAGCAGCTGCGAGAGAATTCAACATTAATGAATCAATGTTACGGACGTGGAGGAAGCAAGAAGAATGAGTTGAGTTAAAAAAAAAACAAAAAAAAAAAAAAAAACCAAAAAAAAAAAACGGTTTCTCCACAGGATTGCGTTTTGTAAAAGTACACAAGTACAAATCACTCACTCAAGAGTGGCATGTTACAACTGTGTGCCTTCTGGTCATTATTTCTTTTGATTATTAACCTTACTCATTCGGTTATGAGTGGCCAGCGGGGACAGACTGGCTGTCTCCTCCATCACCACTGACCTTTGTCTTCAACCGCAGCTAATTATTAGTTAAACCATGTTTTCATTTGTTTTTATTCAAGCCTGAATCCGATGGCCCACTGTCTGTGTTTGAATTCTTCCACTTTTCTCCTCCTTATACTTATTAAATATGCATATTTTTGTTCAGCACTGTTGACTGTGTTTGGTACAATGATTAAAACATTCTGGGAAGATGTTAGAGTGACCTGTGAAAGATTCTCTTCAAACAAATTCCACTACACACAAAAGTCTTTCTGCTTGGTTATATTCAGAAGAAAAACAATTATAATAATATCGAAGACAAATCACAATTAAAAAACTGCAATAAAAAATAAAATAAAATATAACCTCCACTTGCTGAGGGAAATTTATGTTCCATAAGTGGTTGCTGGTTGTTGCGAGGTCAAATTAGACTCTCACGGTGACCCGTAGTAAGCATGATATGTATAGCCATAACTTGCCTACAAACACTTGTGAACTAACCACCGAGCTACAGGGCAAGTTGAAAAAGTTCAAACTGCAAACTGGAAACAGATTGCTGGCCTTCAAAATAAACACATTTCAAAAGGTGCGGGCACTTAGGAGGTTGGCAAGTGTTTGCAGACAAGTTAGCATACTTCATGCAAACTATGACCAAAGTGTCTGGTGATTATGAGCATCGAGAGGGTCCCTGACTGGTCTTTAGGCCTGTGTGAACCAGACAATAGAAGACAAACAACAAACCTTGCTTTTGGTCTACTTCTCTAAATTACTGTGAACAATGGAGTTCATTCATGTTTTTTTATATTTTTGTAACTGGTGAGTTTTGTGTGTGAATTTTAACATTACTTCAAACTGCACAGCAAATTCAAAGCGTTCTTCTTTTTGTTGTCAGAGGATGGATTTTCCCGTTGAAGAGTTTGGGGTTTTTGTCAAAGGGAGTTTAGTGCCAAATAATCACACGTCTCCAAAGATAATAATGTTAGTCTATGTGTTAGCAACCACTTTTAAAGGTTTATACTAACCAGTAAACTGGTGTTTGTTTTACCACTTGATAGTTGTCAAATTATTGCCATATGTCAAAGAAGGAGGGCATAAAGTCTTTAACTGTATTTTTACCTACAAAGACATCATCTGTGGCCTGTGCCTTATGCCAAAGCAACCAAGTAAGATAGAAAAAAAAAAAAAAGAGTTCTTAGTATTTAATTTCATAACAGAAACGTTTCTTTTTCACTGTTCTCTTTTTTACTCAGAATTTCTGTTATTAATATAATATAAAATAGTGGGTTTCTTAAATTTCTACAGTAATATTTGTTTATAACATAGAAAAACTGAGATGTGTACTTAAAAATTATACTTATTTCTCTTAAGACATCCCAGGGTGTCTTCAAAAAGAGAAAAAAAAAGAAAAGGTAATAGCTTCACTGGTCTGGCTCACTTTATTTAAAACTGCGCTGTGTTTGGCCCCTGGATTAATGCACTCCTTGCAGCAATGCAAAGCTGGGCAGGCCCGAGCCTATTTGCAGCTGCTAACCTGCTCAGAAGTAGAAGTTTGGCAAATAATTTTACAACTTTGTTTGCTCCGCTACTACACAGCAAAAGATCTGCATCTCTATGATATCTACAGACATACGCATTTACCACGAAAAGGACTTCAGAGTTTGTTTCAGGTGAATGCTCATGTGCATGTGCCATCTCACCTGAATAAGTATCTTCCCCAGGGACACGAAGGGCGTGCTGAGCTCTGTTAGAAACAAGCAGCCGATGAAGAAATCCCCCTGGTCCTTTCTGAAGAACTGAGGAGCAGACAGAGCACACACAGACTGAGCAAACAAGCGCAAGCATGGAAAACACACACACACACACCTTCTCGAACAGTCTCAGCGGAAAAATGCTTGAAAAGACAAGGAAAATATCAGACTTTAATCATGTGTTTACACTGACTCATACAGCTGGACTGGAGCTGCTTTCAGCCACCCTCATGTTCCTCTTAATTACCATAAAATATTTGTTTATAAGTAATAATTTTTCCTCTGTTATTTTACTAAAAATAGTCTTAGCACTGCTTCTGTATCTTTCTATAATAATTTTTATACATTTTTCATTTTATATTCTCTTTATTTAGTGTTTTTAGTATTTTTCAGTCCGTTACGGAAGGACGCTAGATCAGCATGGATCTGTTATAGCAGGAAGGCTCTGACCAGATTTAAACAATCTTTCTTTAGTTATCGCTCAGCAGCAGCTCTTTAAAGGCTTGGTGCACCTGAGACAGACCTAAATCCCCAAATGGCTCACTGTAATCACCCTAGCCTTCAAGTGCTGCTGTTAGATAAACAGCCAAAAGCTCCAGGAAGAGAAAACTGACTGGATTCATTATTTCTTCACCTAATTCCTCACAGTTCATGGTGCAAAAGCACTTTGTGATTTGGGCTGTTGTGTGTAAAGTGCTAAAAGTCAGCATGTGCCAAAAATGAGTTTGAATTTAAACCCAGGTTTATCGTAGGTGCCTGAAATTCTGTAGCTACTGGAAAGCTGCATAATTACAAAATAATAATATAATGACAATCCTGAACTTCTTCCATAGTATTAAATGGGAGGATGCTTTAACATAGCAAGGTTTTACAATGTGTATGTTTTTTGTGGGTGTAGGTAAGGTTGAGAGGTTTTAGGTTGTGTATGTGTATTTGATTATATCACTTGACTTTTATCTTATATCTTGGATATATACTTCTGTTTTATAGCCTATTTAACCCTGTGTGTACCTGTCCAGGAAGTGCAGAAGTACATAAGCTAAAAGCTAAATCAGGTGAATGTTTTTGTGCATGATCCCTGAAAAACAATAATAAAACTAAAACTAGACTGTAGAGTGACGGTGCAGGTGCAGCAACAGGTCTAATGGGAAGACCCTTGTTCAATTCAGTTGAATTTATATAGCACTAAATCACAACAAGTCACCTTATACTGTACAGTAAAGATCCTACAATAACAGATATTGGGTTTGGTTGTTAATAATAACAGCGTGTCCCACTATGAGGTGCAGCATGTGCTTTAAGCGTTTCCTAAACAATTAGACCCATTAGTGAGAGAAGGTAAAACCACACTTTTTAAAAATTATTTATCAAGTAATATTATATAACAAACTACATGTCCAAGGCAAGCAAAGACTACCACAGTAGTGTGGTTTGAGATGGTGGCGCGTTAGTACTTTCTAGAGAGGTAGCTGAAGAATATCCAGAACAGTCATGCAGTTTTATTTATTTATTTATTTATTTTTTACACCTGCAGAACAATGCTGGCTGGCACGGTAGTCATCAGTTTACTTTCCCCCTTCCTCATTTAGGGCTTTCATTAACAAAGAGAGGGCAGCCAGCCCGGCAAGTGACTTTGAACCGGTTAAACTGTCTAAGGTTAAAATTCAAAGCTTACATACTAAAGAGGCTAAAGGAAAACCCTTTTAACTGATAATATTATCGCACCCTCCTCCATTTTTTTAGTACAATCCCACAACCCCAGCGGTTCATATGTTACTCTACCACAATTTCAAGATGGCCAAAAAGGGAGGGGAGGAAGTAATGTTCTGTACATAACAAATGAACAAAGCTTTCAAATACTGACCACCAGCACAGTCCCGTGTGGTTGGGGCTGCCACCCTAGAGTAGATGAGTCAGTTTAGATGGATAAAGAGACTCCAGACAAAAGACAAGCACTCTCTGGTAGCCCAGCTTTCTGTGTGCCGTTAATAAATAAAGCATGAGCAGCTCCAGACGTGGCTTTGCCATCTGGCCACAAAACAATGACAGAGACCACAGAGGGGAACCTTACACCACACCTACCAAACTACCTGGCTACCTCATCCCACCCCAGCGGCTGTGGACATAAGTGTGTTAACTTTATGCAACACGCCACTTTCAACATTACTGTGCCTGTATTTCCCCCTCAAACACCAGGCCTGTAATGCTAAAAAAAAAACTTTTTTGCCTAAAGTGCTATATCCTTTTGATGTGTAGATTCTTATAGGTTACACAGTATTACTCAAACTAGTCACAAATGAGAAACTGTATTCAACCAGAAATAAGACAAAAAGCCCTCCAACAGGTGGTCTGGCTCCCATAGTCCGGATTTCAAAATTACACCATCAGTTCGGGGCAAAGTCCTTCTAGAACAAAAATCTTTCCATGTGTCAACCATCTCAGTAAAACCTCCAGGCACTCATCCGGGCAGCATCATTTAAAATAACTTTAATATTAATGCCAAGAGAGACAAAATTTGCATGTATGGAATCACTAGTCAAATCTGATACATTGACTTTGATTCTAGCGTTACAAAGACAGTGAGATAGTGAGACTTTCTTTGTGAAAGTTCTCAGACATGCCTGGAACAATCTTCCTGCCAAGGATGAGAAACTCTTATTTACTGCACTTTGTATGGAGTTAACTGGTAGATAACATTTTGAAAACGTCATCTTGCTAAATCCACTGCCTCTAGTTTTCACACAGCTACTGGCTATAAAGGATATAATTGTGCCTGCTACAATTTCATACAACATACAAGCGCCTGAGTGTGTGAATGCACTTGAAACAAGAGAAGCTGTATGACTACACCTGCAACACAATGCACCATCATCAACATCAACCTACGTGCTTAAATGTAGGGCTACAGTATAATGATGGCAAACTACGACAGTCTAGAAGTGCTTCTTGGTACTCACATCCTTATTCCGAAATGTAATAGAGACATTTAATAACTGCCAAACAGTTGTCCTGATCTCAGTAGATAAATCAGGGATGGACTGGATTCAAAACCAAAATTGCATCTGAACGTAGGCTTCCTATAATGTTAATTTTGATGAGAACGTCTAAGAAACTGAATCCAGCTGTTTCAGAAGTAGGAGGTAAACCTTTACGTTACAGCGAGTTAGCTTGTCTGTAACCTGATAAGTTTCCTGGTTCTACAAATGTTTCCAGGAAGTACAGTACAAACAGAAAAGAATAGAATAGAATAGAATAGAATAATCCTTTCATTGTCCCACAAGGGGAAATTTGGGTGTAACAGCAGCAAGAAAGACAAATACAAACAAACAGTACACAAGACACAAAACAGAAACGTACACAATTTTTACATATTTACATCAGGGACAATGGTTACCAAAAACAGAGTACTGTACTGTTATTAAGTTAAATAAAATTAAATACAAATAAGAGGCAAACCCTGGTTATAGTGTGAATAAGAAGAGAAAGAGTTTAGTTTCCAGTAACAACAAACAGAATTTTCTGGTTAACAGTGACTAGCATGTAGCTGCAAAGCATTGAAGATTTTTTTTAGCCTTTCCATTTTCATCTCCACTATTTTAGAGTTCAAAAAGTTTGACACAAATGTCTTTGTCTCCATGACTCCCGAGTACCATCGGGCTGCTTGACAATAGTGTTCTTATCTGGAGGACAGCACAAAGCAGGCTGCTTGTTAAGTGGTACCTGAGACTTTATCACTCACTAGATTCTGGGCAGAACCTTATGGGAGAGCTCTGTAACAACCAAACATGTACCAAGCACTAAGGTTCACAACAGGCTTTCCATAATAAATTTGACACACTTTACACTACTCGTGAAGCTCACAGCGAATATCCAGAGAAGAAGAGGAACTACCACCACCATCTGTCTGCCTGTTGATAAAGAAACTAGACAGGAAGGGCCAGGGCTTGCTGGTTAGAGGTGGTTGTCCCTTCGGAACAGAAGCAAGGAAACTGCTCATTAGTAAATAAAATGCAGATGGCATTATTATGTTAAACAGATGAAAAAACTACTAATTGTGATATACCTCCATGGCCACCCTAGTAAAGTCTTTACACACCGATATTATCACACTGCCATTTTTGCTGATGCAATAGCTTTCATGCATGACATGTCATAACCTGTCAAAACAAGAACAGTACAGGCTAACCATGCCAGGCCAGTAGCCATAACACACAAAAACTAGACACTTAAACTGGTACACCTAAATGAAATGCTCTTCTTCCTCCTGCACTCAGCCTGCTGAGAAAACTCTACCAGCTCACGTATTACATGTGCAGGCCCAAGTAGCATGGTGCTGATGAGTGAGGGAACCGGAGAAACAAAAAGGGAGGTGAGTAGAGTTTAGAGAAGCGGGAGGATGACTGCAACTGGAGCTGAATAATGTAAGGTAATGTGATCTCATGTAGCCACTGTAAACAAAGGCTTGGGTTTCCACTGCACCTGGCCTGCTAACCTGGGATACTACTTGGAAAAGAGAGTGGCAATGTTACATGTTCTGTAAACTCTGGAGTCTGGAGAAAGAGCCTGCGCAACATAATTCAAATGTTTATACAGAAAAAGAAAACAAAAAAACAATCCTTGACATTTATTCCAACAAAATTCCTAATTTTGTTTATTAAATGGTCAGAAATAACAGGAATGTTTCCTTATACTTTGCAAATAATTTTTAAACTTCCAGTGACAGAGTGGGGTCGAATCTCATTCATCATTTCATTATATTTTGTAGTAGTCAGGCTATCTTGTCATTTTTAAAGTGGTCTTAAAGAATAGTTATTTTCTTTGGACATTGGCTGCTTTTTTCCCACTTAGTCCTTATAAAAGACCGAGTAACAGAGCAATGTGTTTATTTTTTATTTTGTTTATCACGCCATTGAACACTGACATCCAAAAAAAGCACCTAATTCAAGGACTGAATCAGTGATATGTCCACACATAACAGTCAACTAAGCAATGAACTAACTAGTTTCATAGTTTGAAAAAATGCAATTAAACAGTTTCACAGATATAAAAAGCATTTTTAAAGCATCAAGGTGATTCCCAAAGAGCTAAAAAGAAGAAGTGTCAGGCGGAAAAAACTGCAGCCATGACAACAGGTCTTGTGGAGTGAAGGATCTAAATGTGAAATTTTTGGAGGACGTCAGGAGAGACGTTAGTGTCTACAGCCATCTGTAAAACAGGAGGTTCTACCATGGTTTGTGGTTGCATTTGAGCCGGTGGTGTTGAGGATTTTCTCAAAATGGACGGATTTATGAAAAAGGAAAAGTACTGGCAAAATCTGATGCACCATGCAGCACTACCTGGAAATTACAAAACAGTGGCAGCTGCTTCATTTCTCAGTCTGACAACACACTGCAAATGGAGTAAAAGCAAATAGACAAACACGCAGTGGAACACTACCCGTCATGGATTGGTTCCCCCAGAGCCCAGACCTCAAAATTACTGCAGCAGTGTGGGATCATGTTGACGGACAATGGAGAAAAAGGCAGAAACATCCAAATAATCCTTCAGGAAGCCAGGATGTATTCCCGAAGACTACTTGTATAGTGATCACAAATTTTCCTGCTGTGGGCTCAATAACGTCTTATATTATTTTATCTTTTGACCAATTCAGGCTGTTGAAAAGTGGACTCAAGTTTAAAAGTTCAGAAGTTTGCCAGTCACAACTGCATTGAAAGCCTCTGGTCAGCTGCCAGCTTCCTCCAATAACCCATAATTCACTATATATTCAGTTTATATATGTCTTACAGGCCTCGGTATTTTTAAATGGCACAGAGATTTTTGCCTGGCTGCCATTGTTCTCCTTACACTCATATTTCAACAGAAAATAGACCCTTCGTTCCTATTCCACGTCACCACTTTGAAACGCTCACAATTCAAGGATGCAAAGGACAAATAATACATTGCTTGCATTTGTTCAAAGAAAGTAATCAATAATCACTAGCTGGGTGTTCTTTCTTTCCCAGCTACATATTCCCACTGGAAAAGCACTTGTTCTACATTGAAACTGGTCTGCATCCTCTGAATGGATCAAAGAGTTTATTCAAGTAGTAGAGTTTAGGAAAGAATGCTCATGAATAGAGTTGATTTAGTTTTGTATTTCTTACTTATTTATGCTTTTTATTGCGTTTTAAGGTGAAGGATGTCAGTGGGGCAGTTTGAGCTCTTGTTGGCAGAGGTGAGAACACATGTGAGTAGGGAGAGAACTCATTTCATAGAGTCGATCGACCCGGAGCAGCATCTAGCTGTGTGTCTGAGGTAAAACAGCATTATTCTACCATTTCCATCTCATTGTATAGTCCCTACTGGTGCAGGTTTTGAGCTATAGCGGACTTGTTCCCAAATGCAGTCTGATTGGTCAGATGTGGATTAGAAAAATGTCACAAAAATGTATTAAGATTAGGGGAGTCTCAAAAATTACTTTTAAAGTGAGAAACTTTTTCACAGATTTTACATGTCCGGTGTGCAAAGGTCTTTAGTTTTTGTTGTGGTGACATGGGTGGTAGTTATCCAACTGTAAGATGTAAGAAGTTGCACACAGTATAATATAGCAATACAAATTAGTTTATGGGTGCAGCCGGCTAACAATATTTGCTTGTGTTAACTTATAACTTGGCACTCCACCCTTTCACCAGACTATATTGCACCCAGACTTAGCTTTGTAGATTTGGGTTTACATACTATTCACTCACAACAGTCACCACTATACTTAACTTTAACTTCAACATTACCAACTTCAATATTAGCAACACCTTTTACTCCCCAAAAGGCATCTAGGAACAGCTTCAGTAACTCTTTACAATTATTTCCATTTTGTTGTGTCACATAAAAAGCTGTTCAGTACTGACTCAGTACGGCCTGTGAAAGGACTCTTAATTAGTTTAAGCCACCTATTTGTAACAGAACTGACACCATCATTGTTTCTGTGGTTTCCTTGGTCCTTCTAAAGAGGAAGTAAAGCACTCTGCATCACAGCTTTACTGATAATGATGCTTTCAGACGCCACTACGGGGAATTCAAAAAGACACAGATGTTTGGTTAAGTATGAAAATGTTGTGTTGAAAATTTGTTTATACGTCTGCTTGACTCCATAAGCAACAAACAGCCTTAAAAGCATGTGCAGCGGTTCTGAGCTAGTGTTTACTGTACATTAACAAAGCGGTGAGATAACAGATGTTATGTGGAGGTGGATTAGCATGATGACGCACGTCTTTGATATAACTGCAAACCACTTTCCAAAGCAATTTTTTTTAATTATGAAGTGCATTTTTCCTCTTAATTCCAAGCAGAAGTCCATTTATTGTCCATTTATTGTCCATTTATTTCAACTGAGGTTTGAAAAAAAAAAAAAGGACATGCAGAATGAAATCTATTTTTTGCCACCACTTAAGTAATCATTAGGAGATAATGCAGCTTAAGGCAAGAATTGATTTGAAACCACTGCACAACATTAGAGTACTCAGTAATAAAGTATTACTGGCAGTGAACACTTATTAAAGAAGACTGAAAGAGAATACTAACCCCCTTTAAGATGAATCTAGTGCTACACTGAAATAAACTAATGCCTGACTGAAAGTACAACACATTTAACATCATTAAATTCACAGAAACATAACATGAGTTCTGTGATTTATTAATAATTTAGAGCTGGATTCCTCAAATCACTGAATATGGCCCATTTCCCTACATCAATAAGGAATTAAATGTTCTATTATGGAAAATACCAGGAAAAGAATAAAGTCATTATATGTTAAATGCCATTTTTCCTTTAAAAAGTCCACTCACAGGCAACGTATCTCTGACCACTCATTTTTTGCATGTTTTAATTGTACTTGTTTAACCCCTCTGAGACTTTACTACTGAACAATGTCCTCGCTCTTACTTTGAAAGGTCAGTCTGCTAAATGGTGAGTTCCAGCCTTTCATGCCCTTCTCATGTTTCCCTCCCAGGTGGTTTGTGCTTCAGTTTGCAATTGAGGTGCAAACTGGCGCACATTTCAGGTGGATCAGGATGTTGTGTCAAACATTCATTATTAGTGCACCTGCACAGAAGTTAATGAGTGAAATTTGAACTTACTATATTAGCACACAGCAGAGGCCCTGACTCAGGGTGAAGAAGACACCAGTGCAGATGCCCAGCACTTAAAGAACTATCAGTGTAATTTATGGAAAAGCTAATAGTTTTATGGCTTCAGCTGGACCAGGGATGTCAAAAGTCCACTGCACAATGCTACTGACCTGGTTATGCTAGCCATTGTCACTGTCTGAAAAGGAACACCATCACAATCACAGCACCAATGTAGAGGTTTTTCTGAGTAGTGTGCTCTGGAAAAGTTGCAAGCTCGTGCAGCACACCTCAAGCGCCAAATATAAATGCCCACGGTGTCACTAACCAATGCAGTGACTTAACATGGTGATGAGGAAGCTAAAGAGGCTCTTGTTTAAAAAAAAAAAAAAAAAAAAAAAAGAATACACACCCATTCTGACAGATACATGGCCTACCAAACGTTCAATCTGAACCAGAGGCAGTGAGACTCTTTGTTGATAGAGGCAAGCTACATACAAGTGGGGCTTTCTGCAAAACACAAAAACTACAGACCCCATGCTAGGTTCAGGTGCTGTGATATGCTATCAAATGGGTCTACAAGCAAAAGAAGTGTTAACAGATGATACTGAGGGGCTATTTCTCACAGATATGAATCCAGGTGTGTCTTATAAGTTTGGCTTCTCTTTGAGGTAGCATTGTGTTGGAAAAGAGCTAATTATATATATTCCTAAGCTAATTGTATATTCCTTAAATTATCACATATACAAATATAGCAGTCTATCACTAATAGTACTTGCATGTATTAGTTATCTTAATTATTTATCTGTGGTACTAAATGCCATCTCAGCCCCTCCCTAATTTTTCCCCATCAGCCCTCCTCACCAGTGTGACAGGCAGCAGGATGGTGAGCAGAGCGATGTGATGCAGGACCAGCAGGAACTCCTTACGGACAAAGGAGTTTATGGTCCTCAGTGAATGCCGCTTGTAGTCCTCATGCCCTTTGATGTGGAAGCGGTAGTAGTGACTGAGGTACATGGCAAAGATGTCGTACGTCATGTAGGGGACACCGTACCAGATGACAAAGTAGGTGGCCAGCCAGTGCCTGAGGAAGACAAAATAAAATTGTTATCAGTGTCTACAACTAACAGCAGAATCACCCACAGGAATGCCTCTATCGAAAATGGATGACCATGATGTTCAAATAATTGAATACTCATTATTAAGAAGTTGAGCCTGCTATCACAATGCGGGTTAAAAAAAATAAAAAATAAAAAAAAAAGACCTTTCATGAGATGCAACTCGTTTTGACCAATTGCCTATTTTACATGGTGATATGATGCCTGAAAGTTTACACAGAGTGAGTTTTTTGACATTTTCTCCAGTGAATGATCTGAAAACACATTAAACATCCAGGGTATCAGTGTCTGTCTCCATTTCTCTACAACATAGACACAAAACTGAGGAAGTTTTGCCATTGAAACTATAATTTTACATGACACAGGCTAGTGAAATAAAAAAAAAGTGCTGAACAAGTACATTAATTTTACTTTTGTTTGTAACGGGTATTAAACTGATATGGCTGGATTTTAAAGTTTAAATCTTAAGTGTGTTTTTCAGACCTGAAAATGTTATATGACTGCACAGTTTGCTTAAGAAGCTATAGAAACTGAGGTATATTAAAAAAAAAAAAGAAAAAGTCAAATACAGACTCGTGCCTTTGCAGTCTGAGAGTCTGTAATGTGGAAAATATTCAGAATATAAAAGTAAAACTTTGCTTGGCTTTATAAAATTCAACAAAAAAAATCTTGCCTGATCCTAAGGGAGTCAGGTGGAAGGCTTTAAATGTTTTTTATGGAATGACCCGTGTATGTTTGATTTATTTATATAAAAATCATGAAAAAATCTTTACCAGAACTATAAAACCATATTAATCATTTACCAGTCTTACATTCACAGGTCACTTTGTTAGGAGCACCCATTTAGCTGCTCATTTACACAAATATCATGGCTGCAGTTCAGCACATTTATGGCTCTTTTCCACTCACACCAATTCAACTTGACTCTATCCGATATTTAAGTGATGACATATGAACCCTGTTTCTGGGACCAAACTACTCTATGTTTATTAAGGCTGTTGTGTTTTTAACATGTTTTAATGCTTTGTATCTTGTCCTATTTAATCTCAACAAGTCCTAAAAAGGGCAGTGATCACTGTCGGCCTCTCTTGGTTTTTATTATCACTGTTCATTTTAAAGCTCAAGTTTTAAAACCTTACAATGTAAGTACAGCCCAGCCCATGCAGCAGTATATTAATGACTAACCTCGTATTATGGATGGATTATCTCAGTTGTTCTCCTGACTGAAGTTTGGTCCGTTTACAGCATCCTGTCATGCGATTGCTTTTGTCCCTAACCTTCGGGAACCCTCGCATTAACTTTTATCAAGTGGAATAAAGTCAGAGTTCATCCTCAAGTGTGTTTATACTGCATTATGCTAACCATAGCTATGTAGCTAGCCACCACGTAGCAACCCTACAAATGTCACTGCTGTTTAGTTTCCTGTCTTCATTTATGTTGGAAGTGATAGCAGAGCTGTATATTTCAATTTTTTCAGAAATCCCCAAGTCAGAACGTAGTATATTATGTTTGGGTGGAAACTAGCAAGCTAACTTCCTGCTAACTTCTAACCCCATTAAATTTCATAAATTCTGTTTTCATGGATGCCTGGATGTTAAACGTAATTACCCAGTTGAGCAGCCACACTGATCATTTTATTAAAGATGAAAGAATTTAGACCGTTTTTAACTTTCAGTGATGTCAGTGTTCGTTTGACTTTGGGACCTGAAGTGGAGTTTGGACCCGGAAACGGCTAATGACGTCAGACTTAAAGACCAGATTCAACTCAGCCCAGTTTCAGTAATTACAATTGAGTGCCACCTCAATGTGGGTGGGGTTGTTATAGAAATGCGGCGTTAACTCAGGGAGCTTGGAATCCCAGTCGAGTAGGTACCAAAAAAAAAAAGTACCAATTGTGCACTGTTTTAACACCACAGCCCAGCTGAGTATTGCTGCTGACCATGTCCCATCCATTTACAACCACAACACACTAATTTTCCAGCAAAATCCAGGAAATCCAGCTGCTTCCAGCAAAATCAGATGCTGTGTCACAAAGCTCAAATGATCTCAAACTGGTGTCTTGAACATGCCATTGAGTTTATTGTAATCAAATGGCCTCCACAGTTTCCAGATCTGAATCCAATAGAGCACTTTTAGGATGTGGTGGAATAGTAGAGTCACATCTGACAAATCTGCAGCAACTGTGTGATGTTATCATTTCATTATGGACCAACATCTTTGAGGAACGTTTCTGCTCTATTAGGTACACCTTGCTAATGCTGGGTTTAACCTTTACAGTGGGCAGTGAATATAGAACAGAAGGAGGCCTAGGCACTATCACAGCACAGTCCTAGAAAAAAACATGTAAAAAAAACAAAACAAGACATTTACTTTCAGTAGATTTAAATAAAAACCTGCACTTTTTTTAACCACCCTCTGTCCTGTGCAAAGCATCGGAAAGCTTTAAGACAAGCTTGTGTAAGTACAGTAAAATCAACAGCTTGGATAGCTCCAGTAGCCTAATGAGCACTGATTACTGTGATGGTTAATTATGTGGACAGAAAGGAGTGAAGCTGCAGGGTAAAGCTGAGCTACTGACCCCTGACCTCTCACTGGCTTCTCTAGCTTTTAAGGTCAGTGGATGGAGATTAAGAACAGTAAGGCACAACAAACAGCTTAGGGAGGAAGGAAGGCTACATGAGCTGATTCTGTAATGTATGTACTTTCTGTATTAAATAACACAAAAGAAAGCACTAGTCCCCCAGACATACATAAAACAGAACTGCCTGGTCTCTTGCTGTATAGGTTCTCATTGGTGTAACTCGCATAATAATAGAAGATAAATAAGAATTTCACCGTCCTCAGGTGCTTATGTTATTTTTGTTCTTGTGCTCTGTTTGCCTACCTGTTTATTAGCACGATTATTTAAACAGATATGGACACATACATGTTAAACTTCTACAATGGCTCTGGTTTGACGGAGCTTAGAAATTATTAACTTTGTGAGCTGATCTGAATTCAGGCCTGGATCCAAGAACTCTTGGAAGGAATCTTTACCATTCCAAGATAGGGCATAATTAAACATTTTGTGTCTTTACTCATTTTTAGAGTGGTGGTCATCTCCAGCCTTGGTGGCGGTATGCAGGACTGCTCAGACTGTTTCAGCAATAACAACAAGAAAAGCACTGGCCTTCTCATTTGCACCACTAAATGAAGCTTTGTTTATTATAGATTACAACAAAGAAATGGCTTTCAAGGCAGCCCTATAGCTCAGTGCATTCCTAATTTTGTTTGTCTCTCAAATATAAAGTATAGAAAATATTGTTAAATGAGGGAAAAAGCACAAGTAATTAGATACACAGTGTTTGCCAGATCATATTAACCACTTTATTTGGAGCTAATGTTAGAGTCTGGCGAATCAGGTGCGTTTGAGCTACTTTAGTGGTTCTACTGCAGTTTATACAGTGAACACCACCATTTCTGCAACTTAACCACTAAAAGCTAAAAGAAGGGACAGGTTGCGATGGAGAATTAGAGTATTTGTGGGTCTAACTCTGGAGTATAAGCCCCCGGGTTGAGCGCACGTCACAGGACAGCAGAACTGAGCAGCGTTGTGGAGGAATTAAGCTCTGTGGGTGATTTGGAGTGGGGGGGCGCAAGAGATTAGCAGTCTGAAACTGGGACTGCCAGGGTCTGGTCGCTGACTCAGTGAAGGATTAATAGGCTGGCATTAACCTAGCGTCACACTTTCCTCAGCTGCACAGAGTGGCCAGTGCTAACGCTAACAGTAACTCATTGCCAGCTGGCTGATGTGGAGGCAGCATGAAAGCAGCTGGTTCAATAAGAGAAACGGGCAGACTGCTGCCCAAGGAAAGATACTGACCTATCAATCACAAAGGAAGTTAGTCTGAAAATCTTTAACATTACATGACTGCTTGCATCATATTCAGCAGCAGGGGGAGTGTTTCATGCTATAATCGCAGCGTAGGTACCAGATCTTCTGATTTATAACCAATTCCCAATAAAATAAAACCATTTAAATATGTGCTGATGAGGCTCTGGTGCAACAACCCCTCCGACATCACAGATTAGCGCATTTAGTCTTCAGACGCTTTGCTGAATGAGCAGAGCTGTTAAAGGTAAGAGCTATCACTCAGATGGGATGCAACAAAAAGTCCTCTTAACATTTCTGCTTAACCCTCAGGACAGCAATGCTGCTTCTATTTCCTGGATGACAAGCTTGCAGTTTCCCAGTTACACTAAAACACCCAAATAATGGACTTTATATCTTTGACCTAAAAACAGGAAGAAGAAATCTCAGCAGCTAAGGTTATGTTAATGATAGGATGTTGTATCGCTAACAGTCAAGTGAGCAGGCAGCCACAGATTAACTAAAAACGGCTGCGAAAAAAAAACAAAAACTTAAAAGCACCTATAAGTTAAGTGGGCCAAAAGGAAAAATACTACCTAATACAATCTAGAATTGACAGGACAAGGAACAGTAACCGCAGGAGAAGAGGAGACAAACAGGTCTCTGAATAAAGCGAGGAGGAGCGTGTCGATCAATTTATTTTAATAGTGGAGTATGCAAGTTCACACTTTAGACTGTTTGTGTGTGTGAAGAACGTGAAGAATTAACAGCACGAATGTTATGTCAAAGACTTCAGCGAACTGTGTTAGAGTGATTATTCGCATTTTCACCTCACAAGCACGCCGAGATTGTGTAGCTTCTAAGACAGATTAAGCAACTTTGTTCACTGTTAGCAGGCTGTGACTAACATTTATGTTTGAGTCAGTGAATCAAAATTGAGGCCCGAGTCTTTGGAATAACAGATCCCACCAAAGGGAGGCCCAGGAAGCATAGCTGCTGCTTTCATGTGTTACCAGTGATAACCAATGTTTCACTAAAGGGGTTATTTACATGAAGTCTCACCTGTCATTAATGACGTTGCCGCAGCACGATGACACGACAACAGCTCCTGCTGTGGTTGCCATGGCAGCATGGATAGAGGACACCAGCCTGCAAAAAGGGAGAACATCGTCACTTATGCACTGGATGGCTGTAACATGTAATAGAAACTTCAGTGAAGCTGATAAAAGTAATATATGTTCAGATATTTATTGTCCCGATTGTGCCTTTAGAAATCTGTTTAATCTCAATATGGCCAGCACCCCAGAAGGAAAACAAAACTTCTTTGAAGTATCTTAATGTTGTTCTGCTGGCCCTGTTAGTCCAAAACTTTAATTCCTTGGTTTATGATCAACATAGCCATCATTTCAGCTGCACTTTGTTTTTAGCACTAATAGGCAATTGTTAACCTGCCAATATATTAACACACAGCTGAGCCCAGGGGTTTTTGTGAGTCACCAGGGGCCTTTGGGGTTGATGAAGCACAAGTGAGGTCTGCATATAGTTTATGCATGACTACATTACGAGGGTTATGCATTATCCTGTTGGTGCTAGCCAAAATATTTTTATTACATTTTTGGTGAGGTTTCATCCCTTGCCCAGAAGGAGGACCACCAGAACAATTGTGTACACACAGGAAGCTTTCTAGCTGACGGTTAGTTGCTGGCGGACCTTCCAGGCTCCAGTTTTCTGTGTAACCCTGTAACCCCAACTTGCTGTGAACTGCTTACTTAGTGGACCCTCCTTGACCCCAGAAATACACCAGGCCTGCATCAAAGCCAGAGATCATCACATCCACTCAAGCCAAGCCAATGCTTGCAACTTCACACGGCGGTGTGTTTCAGAAGGGCATTCATGACACTTAAATTGGCACTGTGTTTGTCTTTAACAAAACCCAAGTCAAGCTGCAGAGCAGGTAAGGAGGTCAGGAAGTCAGACACAGCCATAGTTTTTCAAACAAAACCCTTGTACAGACACAATGCCAAAGATACTGCCTGATATGTCTAATAACAGTTTCATAACAGCAGATATGGTGATAATTCTGATCTTAAACAGCCAATCAACAGGTGACAGTTTCACATGTGTGGCAGCAGACATATCTATATGTTATCATAGCAAAGATACATGGAAGTATGCTTATGGAATTTCTTCACCAACTATTGGATAAGGTGTATTACTATAGCAACTGTTCAGTCCTGTTGGCTACAGAGCTTGATTGCGTCAGCCGTCTGGATTGAGCCACTAATGAAGCCAAAAAGCAGCAGTGTCATTAAGTAAAACCTACATGGATAAAAAGTTTCAAAAACTTATTCTGGGGAAATTTCAGCATACTTGTGAAATGGTTTTGAGATTTAATTGGTTACCACTGAAAATGAAGTTATGTCTCTCCCGGGGCTCAACACTAATTACCTAAAGAACTGCCCAGAGGTGCTGCCAAGATGACTGCCTAGTGCCAAGACTTGTTTCTATACGCACTTTGCTTAGAAGATTACACCAGTGTAATACAAAAGTTAACATTTGTGTTACTACACTCCCTGTTATTATCATCATCTAGTTTTAAAGTTTGATCTTTGCTACAATTATGAATAAACTCAAAATAAAAAAGGCAGGCGTTGGCTTAGTTTTTTGTGATGCCATGTGGGAAATTATTGGGTCAAATAAAATTCACTCAGATCTGAGCTGGTAAAACTGAATGCTACAAGAAAATTTAACAAATTACTTCAATCCAAGCCAAGTCAAATTATGCGTGTTTTCAATGTGATTAATAGCTCTAGGACAGGGCAAAGCCCAACAAATACAGGTCAGTTTTACACAAGTGCTGCTTCAGGTGAGCCGCTTAAGATCAGTGTACCGTGATGGGATTAGCAGTACTTGGCTTCAACTTTCCTCATCTATAAACAGACCTGTGACATAGGAGAACTTGGTACATCTTTATTTGAAGTGTCACTTGGAGTGGAGTGGAGAAAGGCATGCACAACATTCACCGGCCTCGCACCTATGAAACAAGTAACTCCTACACTGAGATCTGACTTGTGTTTTATAATTATTTGCTTACGTTTATAGCAACTTCATTACAAAATTATTTTTAATAAATAGTGGCTGTGATGTTGTGACCTTGATGAGTGAACAATCACAGAGAAATAGATTTTTTTCTCTTGGTTCAACAGATTTATTTTGTCTAATTTAAACAGAAAGCTGGATTATTTCACCAATTAAATTTTTGTGTGTGGGTTGTTTTTTTTTTTTTTTTTCAAACTATGAATGACTTTTGCTCAGAGAAGCTCGTTCCCTGGATGCTCTCCAACTTGGCAGCACTGACACTAAGCTGCTTTGAAATGACAAAACATGTCCTTTATTCCCCAGCAGTCACTGCGGCCATGACAGACAGCCGCCCATCTAACACAGCGTATTGTTGACTGATTTTCCCAATGGGTCTGTTTTTCATCTCCACCTACTCATCAGGAGACAAACACATACTACCAGGCTATGTGTGTTTTGTCTGCCTATGTTTTCCCCCCACCACCCAACAGACGGTATGTACACAGGAAACACATGAACTGTAACTTGTTACAGTTACATAACCCATGTTATGAGTTTTCCAGCTGATCAAATCATGTATTTACAGCAGGTGCAAACAATACGAGACGCAAAAGTCCAAATAAATAAATAATAAAGCAGCTAAATAAGGGAAAAAAGAAGCTGAGATGGTGTGCATGTAGGGCTGAGCGATATGGCCTAAAATTCATATCGCGGTATAATTTGAAGCACGTGCGGTAACGATATATATCGCGATATATTGTTTTCTTCTGTATAACATATTTTCCACACTATAAGGCACACTTAAAATCCTTTAATTTTCTCAAAAATCGAGAGTGCGCCTTATGTATGAATTCTGGTTGTGCTTACTGACCTCGAACCGATTTTGGCGTGCAGAAATCTGTTAAAAAATGTTTTGATGGATTGTCAGAGCATTACGGCTGCCATAGTGAGGAGCTTCGCGGAGTAATCTGGGTCCAAAACTCAGTCTGCTTCAGGTCAAAGTCAAATGAACACAAAGAGTTAAAAACGGTCTAAATTCTTTCTTTAATAAAATGATCAGCGTTGCTGCTTTACCAGGTGTAACAATTAAGTTTAACATCCATGCATCCATGAAAACAGAATTTATTAAATTTAACGGAGTTAGAAGTTAACAGGAGGTTAGCTCGCTAGTTTACACCTAAACATGACATACCATGTTCTGACAGAGAGATTTTTGAAACCAAGTAAAACGTACAGCTCTGCTACCACTTCCAACATAAATGAAGACAGGAAACTAAACAGCAGTGGCGTTTGCAGGGTTACTGAAGTTGGACTACCTGGTATGTAATGTTGTGCTACGTGATTGCTAGCGACACAGCTATGTTAGCATAACATTAGCACAGTGAAGCTGGAGGATGAATGCCAACTTTTTTTCCACTCGATAAAAGTTAATGTGAGGGATTCTGGTGGTTAGGGACAAATGCAATCGCATAGCAGGATGCTATACACGGGGCAAACTTCAGTCAGGAGAACAACTGAGATTATTCATCCACAATACAAGGTTAGTTATTAATATACTGCAACAATATGGGAATAGAACAGCTGCGAGTAGGGCTGCTCAATTAATCTCATTTTAATCACGATTATGATCTGGGCTTTCAACGATCATCAAAAATGACTGAGCCGATTATTAGCACCTCCCTCGTGCTTTACTCTCGCGCTGCTCCGTGTGGCAAATCGAGCGCACCTCTCTGCATTTCGAACACCCGTCACAACAATTAAGAGGACCCGAGGGAAGCTCGGAAAGCTAAGCAGAAGTTATTTGGAGAGGAGAGTGACTGCTATTGGTTGAAAAGAGAGGTAAAAAAAAACTTCAGTGGTGTGGAAACATTATGGGTTCGCCGGAGTCAGACGTGGATCAAGTAGACATAGTGTGTAAACTTTGCTATGGTGTCGTAGCTGCACCACAGAGCAACACTGCAAAGTTCACTAAACATAGATGTTTACATTTTTCATTTATTTCTTATATCGCAAACATTTGCACTGTTATCAGTATTTGCACACTATTTTTTTTTTTTTTAAAAGTCATTATTCAATACATTGTTATTGTTAACCCTTTAAAGCCGGACAGAGCAGCACGCTCCGTTTTGCGTAACTATTTTTAAATCCCTGTAGAACCGGAACCGTGTAAGCTAGCGCAATAATTTGTTTTGCATATGAAACCGGAGGAGTTGTACTTACATCTTATGCCATCAGCTTGTCCTAGGTCACTGTTTCCTTCCACATAAAGCTTTGCAAAAATTGCATAAAAGGGCTTTCAGGAACAAAAACATAATATTCCAGAAACACGCTTTGCCGATCTGACCAGCTGTTCATAACACTTCCCACATTGAAAAAAAACTTCAACACGAACTATCGCATGTCCGCCATTTCCTGCCCGAAACCGGAAGTGACGTCATTTTCGCGGAAAATATAGTTTTACTTGTAGGCCTTAAAAGCCTATACTGGTGTTTTTATAAGTCATGTTTGACTTTTCTGAATAGTTTCTGTGATGCTTAGAACTCGAATTGCACTGCTGGGAGTAGTTTATTTTGATGCACATGCTGTTTTCTTTGCAAATTTGCATCACAGGATTGTTTTTCGTTTTTCCTGCAGTATATAAAAATTGCTGTATCTCCAAAATAAAACTATGAAGACACTCAAAATAAATTTCCTGTTGTTGTAAACAATTTTTTGCAATTTTTTTGGTATTTAAAGTTTTGAGGGATAAACCTCTTAAATTTTTCCAAGTAGAAATATATGTAAAAAAAACAAAAACGATTTTTAATTTTTTTGTAGTTTATTGCACTTTTTTGCAATTGATGTAGTTACTATGGACTTAATGCATACATATTATTAAAATATGGGCTATAACAGTTGTATTGATGTATAGCAACTTGAAATGCTCCCAAAAATGGCACTACAGCATGTAAAAAAAATAATATAAGCTCTGGCGGACTTGGTTCTATGGTAGGTCTTAAAGGGTTAAATAAATATCGTCAAATAATCGAGATCTCTATTTCAGTGAAAATAATTGTGATTATCATTTTTGC